TTCTCATTCTTTTATCTAGGATATTCTTTTATTCTAAATTTATGGGTCATTGTTTGCAAACTAAACGCTTGTATTTAGACTGTGCCTAGAAAATGCCATGGTGCATTTGAGCAATGGATAAACTGTTTGTATGCAGTGAAAGTGAGCAGATGAGTCCTTGTTAAATTTCTTTATACAAATTGCTTTCTGCCAGCAGTGTGAGAAAACTATCCCAACAAGCTGATCGACCACTTTAGCAGTGAACAAATCATTTTTCTTTTTCTACAGTTGTTCAGTCTTAAGTGTACTTTTTCCCAGCACACGTGACAAAATATTGGCAACTTCAATGACTGGCTCATTGTATGAAGTGACTGGGCAGCTGCTAAGCTATGAAGACAGTGGGAAAGAAAAAAGTTAAAGCATAGCATATGATGTACTTATTTATCCCCTGGCCGACCACTATCTGGAGAAAAATTGATCAGTTTGTTTGTATTTTAGCAGCCGTTACTATTAATTCCTATTTAGGATAAGCCAGAAATGCCCGCCTGGTTTCCTTCTGCTTCCATAGGCTTTGTTATTACCAATGGTGATAAAAACAGTAATGAAAACCAGGCAGAGCTTTCAACTCTTCCCCCATCAACAACATTGGCTGAATAGAATTTTTAAAGCTTTAATGGACTTGCACCAGCCATTCATAGCATGGCTTTCAACTGCACTAACAGTGTTTGTCCCCTGGGACCTTTTAAAGCAGAGACTGATTCAAGGGAGAATGGTATCCCAGGCAAGTTGTGGTATCATCCTAGTGCAGGAGAATGGAGATTGTAGCTGGACCCTCTGGACAGCCACCAAGTCCTAGACTTCCTCTAAGGTTGCCTTGTGAACGATCTGGTTCTCCTTTGTGGTATCATCCTAGTGCAGGAGAATGAAGGTTGTAGCTGGGCCCTGTGAACATCCACCAAGTCCTAGACTTCCTCCAAGGTTTCCTTGCCAACTGTCCAGTTCTCCTTTTTAAAGTACACTTTGTGAACCAACTTCATTGCCATTGGGGGGCACTATAGCCAGTATCCTGTCTACAGAAAATTCTGGTCACAATGATGCAATCCATCTAGATCAGGGATGTCCAAACTGCGGCCCTCCAGCTGTGGCGGAACAACAAATCCCATGAGGCTTTGCAAGATTCTCGCAGCCACAGACATGACTCCCGGAGAGAGATGCTTCATGGGATTTGTAGTTTTGACAGCTGGAGGGCCAGAGTTTGGACATCTAGATCATTACAGAATAATAATTGAGACATTCAAGGGAACCGTTAATCCTCTGTACTGCATATAGGAACATTGAGCAAATGCAAGCTGGATCCATGGAAAAGAAAGGGAACTTGAAAGAAGTGATTTATATAGGAATTGACATTTTCTTGTTTTTGAAGGTTAATGTATTTCTAGAATAACTGGTAATTTTACAATTAACAACAATGGCCTTAATATGGTTCTGAAATGGTTGACTTTGTATTGGCTGGGATGTGTCAAGTTCCTGACTTGCATTCATTAACATGACCTGTTACAAGCTGCAAGAGCTGTGCATCAAAAGAACATCTTGACGTTCATATTTCTTGCTTTTTGTAGAAGCATTTTGTATGCAGTGACTGTGAAGAGTGATGTTTTTAGAGTTTATTATGGATTTAAACGTATGTATTTGACCAAATATGGAAATATTTTACTTGGAGCAAATGGAACTGACTGGGATCACATTTTTAACCTTTTATTAAAGTAATCTTTACAGGGTCTTACTGTCTTAGCATTTTGGCATGGAATACTAGGACTGGTTCCCAATAGAACTAAAGATTATGTTCACTATTTTTTTGTACATGACTGCTACCTTTTCACAGGGGAGTTGTATGTGGATATGCATATAGTATCAATCATTTGTGAAAAGGTGTGTTTATAATACATTTTTCATTTGAGGATCATTCGGTATTCTGGTGGGAGTATCTCATGTTAACCACTTTTTTTAAAGGTTCGGCTTCCAATTACTTGTTCCTGGGTAGCACTGTAGGGAGCATGTTCCAGCCTGTAGAGATCCAAGTGAGCTGCTGCTAGTACATTACGTGTGTTAAATAGTCTGACTGAATTAAATATCCTGTAGGTTTAACCATTTCACATATAGAAGAAATAGCTTTTTACAGTCCTGCATGATATAAATGGTATCCAGTATTCTACCTTTTTGTCATCTTAAGTCACATTCATAACATGTTGAGATGAGCCATATTTAATATGCAAGGCACTGGTAAAAGTAAAGACAACTATTTTTAGGGAACATGTTGAGCACTATTTATGTCTGGTAACATAAAACCCAGTCATTTCAGAAATACACGCCATTCTTTGCAACGGCACCTGATATTTATGGTGTTTGTCTAAAAATCATATGTGCAGGGATATAAAAAAAATGGTTCTATGTTGAGACGGGCACACATTGTAGATTGTTTTGCTGTTGTTTTTTTTTAGAGATCAGACAATTAGCATCATTAAATTTTCCAGCTTTAGGAAACTCATACCGGAGTGGTAATATATCTAAACACAGGAATTCCTGGGTGTTGCCAGTGGGAGGAAAAAGATGCAATACAGTATAGCTAGGTAAAGAAAGCTTCTCTATATTAACGCTTTCACTACCATTTAAAATGTAAAAGTATTCAAAGCCGGCAATTATCTAGAAGTATGTGTTTTTGTAGATTTGTCATTACTAAACATTTCTAAATGTTTATGCGATATGGGTAAAGGCCCTCTTTTAAGCTGGTTTCAAATCTGTATAGCAGTGCAAAATAAAAAAAAATCATATATGAAGTACATCTATACAATACATTCACATATCCATATATTTCATCCCTTTTTAAAGATCTTGCAAGTATGGGAAATACCTGTTGATCCTCCAGAAATGCACTCAGCACAAGTCCTGTTGTGGGTCTAACCCACACAGCATTTTTTGGATGGAATGTTGGCAGTGCTAAGCCACTTAGACCTACCTTCACTCCCATCTCTGACATAAAGGCTAATCATTCTGTAGTCCCAAAATGGGAACTGGGAGGGCTTATTTTTCCTTGGACAACGCAGAAATGGTACACAAGACATTTCCGACATATTCAATAGGTATTTTACTGCAACAGATATAACAAAATGCTTTCAATGGTATATTTAATAGACAAAAAGGGGCCAAATAAGTTAATTGTTAGGGTTTACATTAATTAAGTTTACATTAATTAAGTTATGTGTCCCTGGGTGATCTATTATGTAGTGTGGGAGAGGGGGGAATGTCATACTTATTAATTCTGTGAGCTGAATTCAACTAGTGTGTTAAGCATAAATTTAATACTGTGGTGTTTGTGTGGCCCATTACATTGTGTACTGTGCAAATTTTTTGTCTTCCATCTGAGTGTAGAGGTCATAGAGGGAAATGGAGAGATTAGGCTGTCATTTCTGTTGATGAGTAGACTATAGTGTGTATTATAAGAAAAAAAGAACCTTTTTATCGCCTGATCTTAGTCTGGCAAAATTGAGGTGGGAATTTATTGGTGCTAATCAGTAAAAGCAGCTTGGCCTCGAGCCTCTAAATCAACCCTGCCATGTCTGAACAAATGACTCTGTTGAATATGGAGTGCAATGAATTTTAAATGCATGAGTATTACAATCAGGACGCACCGAGGAAAGTGCTCATCAGGTTTAAATGTGAGAAATATTCTCTCTTCTGGAAACCAGCAATAAATGCTAATATCACAGTACAAGTGGAGGCGATCTTTACTGCAAAAACTTCTTAGTGCCACCAGCCTGTTATTCTTTGGGTTAGGAAAGGTCAATAAGCTCTTCAGCATGCATTTTACTGTCTGAAAAACAGATATATTGTATTGATGCTAGTGCATGTTAATGATTAAGCATTTATCATTTTCATAACTGTGTGGCATCCATTCAAAAATAATGGATAGCAATATTTATTTATATTGCATTGGCATAGTCCAGGGTGATTTTTACAGTAAATATTGAACTGCTCTCATCTTGTTTAAGTAAAGGATTTAAAAGTCCAGAGCCCCATGCCATGTATGTGCAGACAGGACCATTTTGGGCACGCACTGTGTAACCCAACTTTAGGTATTTACATTGTGGGAGGATACCAGAGTATTTAATGAACAGTTGCACAACCGCAGAAAATGTAAAATGTTCATCCAGGTTTTTTTGTTCTGGTGAGAACTCAATCCTTCAAGTGCCACTTTGGGTACAATCTATCCGGAAACAGGAGCCCCCTGCAAAGACATCCAATCTCCTACTGTCCACTTTGCCAATCCCTGCTGTAGTCAAGTGAAAACACCTGCTGAAGAAGCTGCAGAATGGAACTGGATGCTGGCACCATTGATAGCCTTATCAGTACATAGCCACACAAAGATCCACTTTAGATTGAAAGCACATTTACTCCCAGTGTTTACAGTAATAGCAATGAGTTCATATACTCTCCAAGGCCACGACAGCAGCTTCTGCAGATATTATGGTAAAATATAAATATTTGGCGTCTCTCTCATCCTCAAACTCCTTACCCCAACCTGTATGGCTAGCTTATACTTTGCCTTTAGGTAATCCTCGGAAACTCATCCATTAAAGAAAGCTAATCCCACCTTTACCGAACAACTGAATTTTTACTTCCGCCATCAATTCCTTCCCACACAGTTAAACATTTGTATCACTTGCCCTTCCCTTTTAGAGTGTAAACTCTGCCCTAACACTCCTTTTTTGTTATTTGTATTGTACAGTCTCCCCTTTTTATGTTGGTGCTAAATAAATCCTGTAAAATTATTTACCATATATAGGAAAACAATTAAAAGTGCATTACCATATTTGAGTTTTGTTTACATTTTTATGTAGGCAATGGGTTTTTTTTTCTAAGACCTTTTTGAACATAATTGAATCTGATTGTTTTTCTTCATTGCTCTAGAGAAAACCGATCCTAGAAAGCTTAACTGATTTCCTAATGTTAAACTTGTTTTATAGGAGCAAAGTCCCAGTAACCAGACCTCCGTTGCCATGATGCAGGAACCTCCAGAGATGTTGGAAGAGACTGTAACGGTCGAAGAAGATCCTGGGACGCCTACTTCCCATGTGTCTATAGTGACCTCAGAGGATGGAACTACAAGGAGAACAGAAACCAAGGTAACATATTCATGCTTAACACGAGAACTTTTATTTACCTTATGGCAGACTGGCCCAGTAGCCGTTACGGCAGCAGAGTTATCTAAGGCTGGAAGCTCTTGGTTTCCCGGGCAACTATTAACTTACATGTGGTAACTAACATCTTGTCTTTTTGTGAATGTGATCAGTGGCAAACAAGCTGCGGATCACATTCGCAGTATCTAAGGTTGGCGGTTTTTCTTTTTAAGTACCATCTCTGTGGATGAAAAAAATGCCTACAAAGCTTCTCCCAGTGTCTCCCTGTATCCCCTTTCACTCCTTCCTGCGGCTCCCGCTGGCTCACGATGACAGCCAGGACTTGTAGAGAAATACAGGAGCAGTGGAAGAAATACAAACAAGTTGTCATGTAACTTTGTATTTCTTTTGAATAACACCTGAGCAGTATTTGTAAACACTGCTGAGATGCGATTTTGTAAGAAATACAAAGTAACATTAGGGCTTTAGCACTCGGGCACTGGCTCCTGAATAGTGATGAGCCGAACACCCCCGTGTTCGGTTCTAACTCGAACTTTCGAACATGGAAAAAGTTCTAACTCGAACTTAGAACTCAATGCAAGTCTATGGGGGTAGAACTCAGAAATGTAAATGTGCCCATTTTGAAGCCTTATATGCAATTTATTGGCCATAAAAAGTGTATGGGGATCCGGGTACTGCCCTGGGGGACATGTATCAATGAAAAAAACACTTTTTTAAAAAATACAGGAGCAGTGATTTAACATCACTTAAAATGAAACATTAAAAATTAAAAATTCCTTTATATATCACACACATCTGTATGATGTATAGAACCTGCTGAAGCAAAAATGACATTTATATACATTTTATTGATATTTATATAGAACTCTAATATATGGTGTATTCCCACTAGTAGAGAGTCAAGCGTACAGCCTCACACTAAAGTCAGTGACTGTACGCTGTTGTCGGCAGGTATATACCCGCACTGAGTAAACCTGCACATGCTTGTGGATGTTAAATCTCAGGCGCAGTTTGGGTGCATAGGTTTATGCAGTGCCAGCATATACCCGCTGGCAACAGCTCAAAGCCATTGAATTTAGTGAGAGGCTGGACACTGCACCTGGGGCTCTCTGCCAACGGGAATACACTGGCAATTATGGCAAACAGGAGCTTGTGTGCAAGAGCCTTTGGCGGCCCGTGGAAATCAGGTGGCTGTAAAGCATGCTTCTGCTTACAGGCCTTTCTGCCGCTACATGGTCTAAGGTAGCAGCAGAAGGGTTAATTCTACAGGCTCTGTGCATTCAGAAAATATATGGTTTGGGGTATCTTTTTCATCAACTTTTAGTTAACGAAAAAAACCACTAAAATATATTTTTTTTTAAATGGTCTCGCCACCATATATTGGGTGTAACATGAAACATGGTTACATTCCTTAGCCCCCTTACTCCCAAACCACAGTTTCTTGTATTTGCTCCCGTTTATGGTCTGCTAATCACACCATTTTAAAGCATTCTATTATAGCTGATCGATTTGACTGCAATGTGGGGTGGGGCACCTAATCTTGTCTGAAATCTAGTGAGCTGATGACTTCCTGTGCTCCCTGCCTTTGCTACAGTGTTATCAATTAGAATTGTTCCTAGTTCGCTGTGACCTACAGAACAACCCCTTATGTTATGAAGTTTTGGAGAGGGGGTATTCTAAATTTCTAACACTTTTTTTCTTTCCCTGGGCCATATACTAGTAAATTTCTAATAAAAATACAATGCCATCAGACACTTGACGAATGTCGAATGAAACTTCACGTTGTTTTTTTTTTTTTTTTTTACATTCTATTTTGGACAGAATGGAGTTTCCGGAAGTTTTTTTTGTTTGCTAAAAAATTCCATCCGTGGTCAATCGATTTGACCCCCATCAGCTATAGAAAGTTGAACAAAAGATCTTTCGTATGAGGGTTCATTCAGAAATCTAGTGTATGGCCAGCTTAATCAAATGTTTGCCTTTTTATTATCCAATGTGTATTAAGCAAACACAAGACTTTCCTTGGGTTGCTTGTTATGGGAAACACTGCTTACAAGAAATCAATTTTCATAAGTTACACTGGGTTGGTGAATAGCAAAAGTACAGCAGAGACCTTCAGATGTCAATAGTTTTTGTGTTGTAATACTTGAACAAGTTTGATATATTCCTTTATTACAGGCCAAACTTTCAATCATTTTTGCCATGCATCTGTTGTCTCCTGAGGAGCAGATATTTAGTGCAGTGATTGGGCTCTACAAATCTGTTTGACTCTTCTGTGCTGGAAACACAGCTTCTCTAAGCAGCCTCTTACAGCTTTGTCTTTAACCTAGTAATTTTAAATCTGCAGATAGAGCAAGAAAGAGCACCTTATGTATTCCAAACACAAAGAAGCGTTTAGCCTACCCTTATATTCTCATGCGGTATCAGCACTGGGAATCAAACACTTTGTGTTTTTAAAATGGTGAAGGTCACCTTCCAGGTATTCCAGTGGCATAAAGATGTGTACATGTCTAACAACTGAATATACCTACTACTGAAAAGTCCTTGAAAATATTTATATTTGCATTGTTAAGATTTCTGCTGCTTATTTAGCATGTCTATTAAAAATGGATTTCCATGTTATTACATTGAACAATAATCCACACCCATACGTGTTATTTACATCTGTGTAAATGGATCAGATATCAATGTTATTTCAGTAAAGGAAAACCCTCCATTTTACTTGCAGCATAGAAGAAAGCTAGTATTATAATGCTGTAATTGTCAACTCCTGGGAGCTACAAGAGATTATGTGGTTTAAAGAGGAGCTGCAACATAATGGTTATAAAAAAAACCATACTGATGTAGTATCTCCTGATTAAACATTCTAAGCTTCATAGTCTTTCCCTGTGCATCCTATAACCCATACACATTACACTGGTATTTAACACACCCAATTCACACCATGGTTCCATTTTAGATATGTGCTCTGTATTTGTCTTGGTCTTTTGACCTGCCCCCAACTTGCATGCTAGTGTAGCCGAGCACATGCGCACGTTACTTGAAGATCTATTCTATTGCACAGGAGCTACACTCTCAGAAATCAATCTCCTGCTGCTGATGAATGGGTGTCACTGTCACTCCGACATAACCGCTCCTCATTCCTGAATTTTGCTGATGCCGTGAGTGTAATCTGCTATCGGCACGCAACATGCTAAGGCTCCTACTGCAACAGCTGTTTACAGAAAATGCTGCAGGTTTTACACAGAAAAATAATATAAACCAATAAATCCAGTGTCATGCATTCTTATTTATAAGACTTTTACACAGCTGAATTGCAGACTGTTCAGTTGGCTTTAATTGGGAAATCGGCAAACATGTTGTCCATCGCAGATATAGGTTTTGACACTGGCCTTTGTAGTTTTAATTCAGATTGGAATTTGTCTTTAACAGGTTACAAAGATGGTTAAAACGGTCACCACAAGAACAGTTCGTCAAGTGCCACTTGGTCCAGATGGTGTTCCTGTTATAGATGCCTCCTCTCCTATCAGTGGCTATACAGATTCTATTGACAGACGATACATGAAAAATGGGGAGAGGTTTATTTCCCCACAGGCTTCTTCAACCTTGACAAGATCCTACAACAACAGCTACAATGACTCTTATGGAGATCATCATGAGACCCCTTACAGATCCTTCATGGCACCTGAAGGTTATGGAGATATAGCAGACAACTATGGAAGCTTGTCCCGTGGAATTAATTACCGCCCTCGATATGCCTACACTCCTGGCAATAGTTATCGTCCTGAAGATGGCAGCTATACACTCCCATCTCGTAGGGAAAACTATGTTCCCATTGCGCAACCACAAGTGCCAATTGGCAGTAGTGTGGACCTGAACCGGTCCCAGCCTGAGCGTTTCCAGCCAGAGCCATATGGTCTAGAAGATGATAATCGTAGCCTTGGAGCTGATGATGAAGGTTATGAATTGGATCAAGATTATTCGACTATGAACAGAAGAGTCCTTCCTGGTATGCCCATGACTGGTAGACCACACAAGCCAAGGTAAGGCAGATGTATGAGAGAAAGAGGGAAAAAAAAGGGTGGCTTTAATTGTATCGAGTCTTTAAATACATAGACAGGCTATGGGATTAGTGTTATTACATCAATTGGAGTATATCACACCTGTTAGCATGTGAAATTTTTTATCTGCAAAAGAGAGCTATAATTAAAATAAATAAATCGACCATTAACTTCAGAATTTTGACACTGAGAATACAAATTGATTTGGGATTTTGTTTGACTGTTTTGAGAATTTAAAGCTTAACGTTACAAGCACTAAGTACATAATGTTGTCTTTTCGAATGTTTTCC